GTGTTCTTCGTTTGTGGTAAGTTTGGCAGCGTTGTCCGTAGCTTGCGACCCATGAGGAGCTCAGCTGGAGAGAACCCGCAAGCCAGTGGTGCAGTGCGGTAACTCAGCAATGCAAGGTAAGGGTCTGATCCACTGTCACCTGACTTCTTTAACAGTCTTTTAATGATCTGGACTCCCTTTTCAGCTTTCCCATTCCCTTGTGGATGCAGTGGACTGGACGTGATATGTTGAAACCCATATTCCTGCGAGAACTGCCTGAACTCTCTGCAGTTGTACTGTGGTCCATTGTCACTAATGACAGCTAGGGGAATCCCATGTCTGGGGAAGACGCTTTTCATATGAGTAATTACTCCAGCAGCTGACGTGTTAGAAAGCTGGGCTATTTCTGGATAGTTAGAGTGACAATCTATTATCACAAGATAGTCTTTACCATTCAGGTGGCATAAGTCAGTTCCCACCTTTTGCCAGGGTTCTGTGGGTACATCTGTGACCAGCATGGGCTCTTTGGTCTATTTATAGTGATGTTTAAGGCACGTGGCACATGTGGATATCATATTATCAATGTCATTATTGATCCCCGGCCAGTACACTGCCTCTCTGGCTTGTCTCCTACATTTCTCAACCCCCAGATGTCCCTCATGAATGCGGCACAGCATGTCTTGTCTCATTGACTGTGGGATCACAGTGTGTCTGAGCACCAGGCCCTTTACCACACTCAGGTCAGCTCTGACTGGGTAATATTGTGGACAGCTTCCTTTCTTCCAGCCATTTTGGAGGTTGTCCATCACTTTTCTCAGAGTGGTGTCTTTTTCCGTTTCCTGTATTATCTTTTTCAACATTACATCAGACACTGGCAGACCTGACATCACTGTGTCCACATGTACACTGACATCAGCAGCACTGGACGACACTTTGGCATCAGTGTCGGGCAAAGAGGCTCTGGACAGTGTATCAGTTACAACTATGTACTTTCCAGGTGTATAAACAAGCTCAAAATCATATCTTTGCAACTTCATCATCAGCCGTTGGATTCAAGGAGACATCTCATTCAGATTTTTCCGTACAATTGAAATCAGCGGTTTGTGATCTGTCTCCATAGTAAAGGTAGGTAGTCCATTTTCTTCCAGAGCCCTCAACGTAGCAGTGAAACTTTTCACACCCATAAACCAGCCCCAGAGTCTCTTTCTCTATCTGAGCATAGCGTTGCTCAGTGTCTGTCATTGTTCTGGAGGCATAGGCCACAGGTTGCCAGGTGTCACCCACTGCTTGCAGTAATACAGCACCTAATCCCTCCTTTGAGGCATCTGTTGAGATTTTTGTCTTTCTTGCAGGATCGAAGAAGGTAAGAACTGGCTCGTTAGATATCGTTTGCTTTAGCGTTTTCCACTTTTTGTTATGCTTCTCTGTCCACTCGAACACGGTTTCTTTTTTTAGCAGTTCTCTCATGCTTGTTGTTTTGGATGACAGGTTTGGAATGAATTTGCCCAAGAAATGTATCATCCCTAGAGCTCTCAATACACCTTTCTTATCTGTGGGGTGTGGCATCTCCTGGATGGCTTGGACTTTTGAGTACAGAGGCTCCACACCCTCTCCTGATATCTTGTCGCCCAAGAAGACAACCTCCCTGACCCCAAACTGGCACTTCTCTTTATTAAGCTTCAGCCCACTCTCTTGGACCCTCTGTAAAAGCTTAGTAAGTCTTTCATCATGTTCTTGTCTTGTTTTTCCCCATACAACTATGTCATCAATGTAGACTCTGGTGCCTACCAGACCCTCTGTTATTCGCTCAATTGCCTTTTGAAAAATCTCTGGTGCTGATTTAATGCCAAAAGGCAGCCTGAGAAAACAATACCTTCCAAATGGGGTGTTAAAGGTGCATAGTTTGCTGCTTTCAGCATCTAACTTTATTTGCCAAAAACCCTGCGAGGCATCTAGTTTGCTAAATACTGAGCACCTGCCATCTCGCTGGTGATCTCCTCTCTCATCGGAATCTGATAATGTTCTCTCTTAATATTTTCATTGAGATCTTTGGGGTCTAAGCAAATTCGTAACTTCCCATTTGGCTTTTTGACACATGTAATTGAATTTACCCAGTCTGTGGGTTGTTCAACTCGCTCAATGACCCCCAGTAAGGTCATCCTGTCCAGCTCTTTTTTCAGGCTGGCACGCAGTGCTACTGGCACTCTCCTTGGGGCATGTACAACGGGCTTAGCGTCACTCTTAAGTTGTATTCTGTATGTGAATGGCAGGGTGTCCTGTCCTTTAAAGATGCCTGGGAAGCTATCTACAATGTTATACACCCCGGCACTTTGTTCAGTCACTTCTACAGTGTCTTTGTTTAGCTGATATATTCTCCTGACCAAACCCAGATCCTCACAGGCTTTGTCTCCCAGGAGTGACTGACCCTTAGGAACGACCACAAACATTATATTGTGCACATTACCCTTTACATTCACTTTAAGTCTGCACACACCCTCTGTTTCTATGCTTTGCTGGTTATATGCCTTGAGTGCAACTGTATTTCTTGTTATCTTAGGTTTCTGTTTAAGTTCTCTAAGATCATTGACATTTATAATATTTGCCTTTGCCCCAGTATCAAGCTGAAATGAAATCAGTGTCCCATTTACCACAAGAGGTGCCACCCATTTATCTCTTTTATCAACATTCGTTGTTGATGGAGCCCTTCCATCTTCCTTGTTCACCATACTGACAAAAAGTGACCCACTATCATCACTTTGATCACCACTATCATTTTCATCCTGAACAGTGTGTACTTTTTTATCTTTAGACATACACATTCTGGCAAAATGATGTAAACCTCTGCATTTTGAACATGCTTTCCCATAAGCTGGACATTGCCTCGGTTATGATCACTTCCACATCTGTTGCAGCTGAACATGCCATCATTCTTGTTCCTCTTCTTGAACTTAGCTGTGCGCTTCTCTCTGATGGAGACCGCGTCCACTGCCTCACACAGCTGACTGGCAGCTGTCGTGCCGTGTGCTCTTTCGGCAAATGTCTTTGCATGTTCTCCTGCCATCTCACTGGCTTGACAAATTTTTATTGCCGTTTCCAGTGTGAGATCACTTTCTCTCAGAAGTTTTTCTCTCGTCTTTATATCCTTAGTCCCAAACACTATCTGGTCCCGGATCAGCGAGTCCCTCAGTACACCAATTCGGGATCGAAACACGTACCGTTCAAATGTTTCGTTTTTTTTCGACAGGCAGTGACCATCAAACTTCTGCAGGACCACATCCAACTTGTTTTCCTCCTCGGTCTCAAACGTGAAGGTGTTGTAAACTTCCAGTGCTTCCGGACCGGCAATTGTGAGCAACATGGCAATCTTCCTTTCATCCGGTTTGGTGTCCAGTCCCACTGCAGACACGTAGAGCTGGAACCGTTGCTTGAATGCTCTCCAGTTAGCATCAACGTTCCCTGTTAGCTTTAACGGCTCCGGCGGCTTCATTGCATCCATAGTCACGAAAAGTTCCTAACCGATGTCTACAAAACAAACGTCTGAAAAGGACCCCACTCCTGGTACCATGTAATGTACATTTATTTTCACTCTGTGATAAAAGGAAAGGTAACCACCAAATTCATATCCCATGTTTACAAAATATTGCAAGAGGAAGTAATAACCGATACAAAAGAGACGTTAAAGGCAAATGGGAAATGAATGTCATAATCAATGATGAGGACTGGGAGAAAATGTTTTGGGAGGATCTTAGAATATCAAATAGCCCAATGTTAAGATAATTTGAATGGAAAATCCAAGTGAGATTTTTCAGGACTCCTCTTTTCACATCTAGATTTAACCGCACCTCTGAGAAATGTTAGAGGGCTTGTGAACTAATTGAAGCTCTCACCCATATGTTTTGGTACTGTCCAAAACTATCAACATATTGGACAGGAATACAAAGGGAAATTAATAAATGCCTGGGCATTACAATTCCTCTAGAGCCATCTTTAATAATACTAGATATTTTCCAGAATAAAATCCAAGATCACTGAGCTTTATATCTTAAAGATTTTACTTATCTTGACAAAGAGAATGATTACGGTCTCATGGCTGAAACCTCAGCCCCCAACGATTTCCCAGTGGAAGAATAGCGTGAGGGAGGTTTACCATTTGGAACAAATTATGAAAAAACTTCAGATGAAAAGTGATTTCTTTGAAAAATGGTCTCCAAACATTCTTTCGGACTACAGCTGATGGAAATTACGACGGATAAATAGTTTTCTCCTTCCGTATTTCTTTCATCTTTATTTTTTTTAAGACTTTGGACAAACAAAACCTCTTCTGTAACATAACATGCAATTTGTACATGTAATCTATGACATATATAATAAGATGTATGTGATGTTACCTGCAATGAAAAATCTGAAATAAAAGTTAAAAAAAATAAATATTTTCAAAGGTCAATCAGTCCCTCCCACCTTCTGCAAATCAGAAAAGAATGGCATCAATCAACTACATTTGTGTTGGTTTGTGCCGCAAACATTTTTGTGCTGCTTTGGCTTTGACAATATAAAAGAAAGTTTAAAGGTCGGAGGTCAACCAGCTCCCCAACTGCCTCTTTTTTATAAAAAATAACTAAAGATGGTCAAGTTGATTGACACCGATTTTGTATGATTTGCAGAAGGTGGATGGGGCAACTTGACATTTTGTCTCCTCTGGAAACATTTCTTAATATTGTTCAAATGATAGCAGCACATACAAAAATAATTGCTACTCAAATCAGCTACAAAAACTTAGGACTAACCATTTTTGTCTGATTTGAAGACAAATTTAAAGAAACCATCTAAGTTTGATAAGTACGAGTTGAATAAATTTTTGCTGTAGCATTATCTAAAATTGGTTTTAAAATATTCTCACAAAGCCCAGGAGTTAATTATATGCGGAACGGTTCTGCTTAATATTCTAATGTCACATAGGCTGATGTGTCATCAGGCGCTTTTGGAACTTTTGTCAATAAGAGAGGAGTTCTTCTCTGAATTCTCACAGTTGTATCGATTCATTTACAAGAGAAAGTCAGACTTTCAGAGACGTGAACGTTCAACTAAACGACGATGGAAAACGATCAAAGTAAGTATTTTTGTTTTTTAATTTAGTGACACAAAGAAAACAGAGCTCATTTCTGTGTAAGATTTTTAATTTTGATGGCAATGTTAGAGATAGTTTATTCCTGATAGGCTGAGAGTAATCTGTTTTTTTTAGCAAAACATCAAATTATTTTAGTTTCTTTTGAGTTTCCGTTGTTCATTTGTTCTTGGGTCATAGTCACAAGATTTATTTTCCCCAATTGCACAATCTGCAGTGCTCCAAAATATTTTTCTGCCAATGTAAGTCGTATAACTTGAGTGTCCCAACTCGAAGAAACCAAACACAAAAATGCACCTCAGCAATTGAGGAGGTGAATCAACATTAAAATACAAACCCATTTTCTGTTTAAGGTTGTGAGTAAACTGCTTTTGAGCTCAAATCATTTTAGTTACTTTTGAGGCACCAATTTATTTATTTATTTTTGCATATTTGACAATTTCATTCAGTAAACAGGAAAACAGTATCAAAATAATAATAAGTTTTACACATTTTAAAGCCAGTTTATGGTTTTCTCACTTTAAATATTAAATTTACTGTGACAGAAGATTAATAATCTGATCAGCTATTGATCCGGCCTAAAATCTGACTTTGTGACTGACTTTGTAAAGACAGTTTCAAAGTTGGCCTTCTGTCCTGGGGCGATCCTAACATGTTTGGTGTCCTGGGTGAAGCCCCCCGTGCCCCAGACTGTACGCAATATTAACAATTTCCTAAATTGTTAATAGCAAGATAAAATACTTAACTTTTTTTCCCTTTGCAATTAGACTGAAATACATAAAATAGCTTCAAAATCACAAACTTCTGCAAGTGTGGGGGAAACCAATCTGTTCCACTTTAACCTCGTTGCCATGGCTTCAAGACAACAAACAGGGCCAATCTGACCTACGTCAACGGGTGTTACGTCGATTCGCGTTTCCCCAACAGATACGGTTCCCCCAGCGCTCATAACAAGCACGCGCTTATCCACCGCTTTCATCTAGAGAACTACGTAGGGAACGTGAACTACGTGGCGAACGTGAACTACGTAGAGAACGTGAACTACGTAGGGAACGTGAACTACGTAGCGAACGTGAACTACGTAGCGAACGTGAACTACGTGGCGAACGTGAACTACGTAGAGAACATGAACTGCGTAGCGAACGTGAACTACGTGGCGAAGGTTAGCATGTAGTTTTCTCTCTCTCTAAATATATATCTATATATATACATATATATAGATATCTATATATATGTGTATATATAATATATATTATATATAGATAGATAGATAGATAGATAGATAGATAGATAGATAGATAGATAGATAGATAGATAGATAGATAGATAGATAGATAGATAGATAGATAGATAGATAGATAGATAGATAGATAGATAGATAGATAGATAGATAGATAGATAGATAGATAGATAGATAGATAGATAGATAGATAGATAGATAGATAGATGATGCTTTGTGCCAGTCAGCGACCTCTCTTCCATTGCTTTGTCTTTTCTCTTTTTGTGCAGCTGTACCAAAACGAAGCCTTCGTTTATCAATAAATGGTTACTATGACTTTAATGGGGAACCAACAATATCATACCGAGAGACAAGAGTTCGGTTTATGATGTAAGCTGTTTTTCTTTTTAGCTTCTATGTTTAACAGTCATCTACTGATTAATGCACATATTTAAACAATTGTATTTTTCCATCTTGTGCCAGTGGGAGGCGAAAGAAACGCCCATTGAACAGACTGATAGGAGAGAGTGAGGAGGAAGATGATATGAAAGAGGAGATGGCCACCCTGATGCAACGTCCTGGGATTATAGTTGTCATCTTGCTCTTTTTTGGTAAATACACAACAATCAATTTGAAAGTGTTGTAGAAAGTCTGCATTTTTTATGTTATGTCATTGACTATCATCTTCTGCTCATGTTCCTCAGGATGTACCTGCCTACTTTCTGCTCTGCACTTGAGATATTCAGAGTCACTAGTTCCACTTTCTTTACTGGATATGGTAGTTTTTATCTTCCTAACTTTAATTCTGAATTTAATTCTGTGAATTTGTTAATGCTGTGACCAAATTTCTGTCTCAGGATAAGTGTCAGGAAAAGCTCCCAGAGAGTTACCACCAAGATCTGCTGGAGATGAAGAAGAAGTTTGAATACCTTCTACCGCAAGCAGATCTCTGGCCCAACTTTGCTCTGGAGTCACAAGGTGAACAACTAGAAATAAGATCACAAACCAGATTGCAAATTTTCAGTATTTAGCTTTCTTAACTCAATATTTCTGTTTTTTGTGCAGGTGCAAGAGTTGTGTACACAAACACCACTGAAACATATCAGAGCTTCAGGTCATGCAAATTGTTTGGGATACCTTTAAATCAACAACCTTTGGGCCCAAACATTGTCATTCAGGTCTGAATAACACTCAGAACATTAATTGAATATAAGGCAGAGTCGTATTTCTTTTTGATAAATATTAAGTTTTACAATTTTCTTTTCTCTTAGGCTTGGTACCCCACCTAAACTTTGTTTTGTACTCTGTCTTCAGGGAAGGACTCATCTGAATCCTGGAGAATCCTGGGCATTCGCAGGTTTCCCAGGAAGTTTGTCTGTTGAACTGTCCCACAAGGCCATTGTGACTCGTGTCTGTGGGTCACATTCCGAAGATGATATCCCCATCTTTCACAGTTTCCAGCGCTCCAAGGGAATTTTCTGTTTATGTAAGTCAAGCAACACCACACGTATCACACATATGTCCACATATAAAGGAGATTTAAACTGTGTTAGCAATACGATATCACCTGATCTTATGCAAACTTTCTGTCTGCACAAAGAAATTTTCTGCTTATCTCAGGATGTGATACGTTTTAGATAAACAAATTAACTTTCACATATATAGAAAGAACAAGATAATGAACTAGATTTCTATCTGATTTTGTCTCAGGGAAAGAAGAATATAAAAGAAAAGGAGACTTTCTTGGGAAGCTTTCAATATAAAGAAGATGGCGACAGGATTCAGACATTCAAACTTCCTGTAAATATGTCAAACTAATGTTTTATTAACCGAATACAACAGTTCTTACAGAAGCTCAGAGTGATTTACCCTGTTATAAATATTGGTCATTTTTCCTAACATACAACCATAAGGTTCTTCACACCAACTTTATTATGTCTTGACAACAAAATACATCAATCTGTTTTCACAAAACAGTCGTCTTAATTGCCTCACAATAAGAAACAAATCAAAATAAACCCAAGGTTTACGAGATAACATTTGGTTTTCTGATTAGGAAGATATTAGTATAATTCCAAGGTATCTTGAAAAATCTATGCAAAATATATTTACAGCAAGGCAAGTTGAACTGGGCTTCCATGCACTTGAAGCAGATCTCCTTTGTTTACATTGCTTGTGTAATTGTAGCTATGGATTATTAATCTAACCCTGCTAATTTGTATTTCTCTTGGCTCACAGGATGATAACACTGACTCCTTCACCTATGTTAGCATACAGGTGAACAGCAACTGGGGTCATCCAGAGTACACCTGCCTCTATAACTTTAGAGTGCATGGTGAACTTGCCCCATGAAGAGGATACCATCATATATCTTCCAATATATGTATTGTTTATGTTTAATTAATTAATTTTGTAAACATTTTTATTTAAAGAGTGAACACAGTCCTCACAGCAACCAGTGTCTGGGCCTCAAAGCCTGGACCTCCCCAGTTCCCGGTGTCAGTGTCTGGGCCTCAAAGCCTAGACCTCTCTAGTGGCTGGTGTCGGAGCCTGGACCTCCCCAGTTCCCGGTGTCAGTGTCTGGGCCTTGCCAGTTCCCGGTCAGTGTCTGGGCCTCTCCAGTTCCCGGTGTCAGTGTCTGGGCCTCGCTAGTTCCCGGTGTCAGTGTCTGGGCCTCGCCAGTTCCCGGTGTCAGTGTCTGGGCCTCAAAGCCTGGACCTCGCCGGTTGCTGGTGTCGGAGCCTGGGCCTCGCCAGTTCCTGGTGTCGGAGCCTGGGCCTTGCCAGTTCCTCGCCAGTTCCTGGTGTCGGAGCCTGGGCCTCGCCAGTTCCTCGCCGGTTGCTGGTGTCGGAGCCTGGGCCTCGCCAGTTCCTGGTGTCGGAGCCTGGGCCTTGCTAGTTCCTGGTGTCGGAGCCTGGGCCTTGCCAGTGTCTGGTGGCTTGTGTGGAAACTGTTTTTCTTGTTTCAGAATTTCTGTTCCAGTTTAGTCTCACCGTGTTACTTTTTGCCTGTGTTTTTTTTATTTTTGCCCTCTTGAAGCCAGCCAGCCTCGGCAGATGGCTGCTCATCCTGAGTCTGGTTCTGCTGGAGGATTCTTCCTTTTAAAGGGAGTTTTCCTCTCCACTGTTGCCTTGTGCTTGCTCAGGATGGGGGATCCCTTGGATTAAACATCCATCGCGATCTGCTGGTGACCCCTCCGCAGAATCGCCACCTTAACGTGGTGGAGGGGTTTGAGTATCCCTGTGACCCAGATGGTGATTTTGTCTTGAGGTTCAGCCTTCAGTGAGGCTTCCCAGGGCAGGTTGCCATTGGGGAGGGATGAGACTAAGAGCGATTCAACATTTTCAGTGAAGGACTACCAAAGGGATCAGGCAGTTAGGAAATGAACAGGATAGAATATTTCATCCTGTAATTTCTTTGAGAAATTTGCTGAAGTGGTTTGCTCCTCAGGGCCACCATAGTTGATAAATTAGTTCATAGTAAACAAATTGTATGACTAAATTCATTAGAATGGTTAAAAAAAAAGTTGAAATTCAATCAGAGTGTGGCACATGTATTATGTTTGCAGAAACACGACTGAGTGAGCAATCTCAGAAACAAACTATCTTTGATACATTGCTCTTCTGTTACCATGGCAACAAGAATTCGGGCAGTTGGGGGAAAGTGAAAACGCCGAGCGCGCTTTACTCTTTTTTTCCTTTAGAAAACGTTCATCTTTGTAAGTATTTATGTGTTTTAAAGACACTTGAACATGTGTTGTTGGGTTTTTTTTTATTTTGGCATGTAAAATAAGGAGCACTGCACTTCTTTGGGTGTAAATTGAGATGAGTGTATTAACTTGTAATATAGTCTTTCTTTAGGTTAAATGTTCGTTGCAAAAAAGTTTTGAGTTGTACGAAGGTGAACTAGTAATGTATAATTTTTTTGTGTGCTATATTTCAGTTACAAGTGCGAGTGCAGAATCAAGATATACAATTTTCGTTCTGTCCAGTCACAAAAACATTAAACTTTTTTTTTTTAGTTTATGTTGTATTTCGGTTACCATTTTTTTTTATCAATTTAATTTTAAGGAAATGTTTTAAAAGATGCTTAATTTCAAATTCTCTCTATCTGCTCACAGGAACATCAGATAGGGAGATAGCCCTTTCTGAGGGCGCCCTCTCCTGGCACATGCGCATTTAAATTGACGACGTTAAACATTTATTATTGTGGGAAGTTCACGCGAATCTGATTAGATATGTAGTTTGCCTTGTGGCTGGTTAAAGGTCCAACACTCAAATTCAAAAGTAAAAGTAGGGTTGTTATATTTCCTGTTTTTACACAGTTATTAAAGTTTCCATTAAATTGCATTAAACCCAGATTAACTTCAATTGCATTTGATCCACTCGCTTTTGCCGTCATGTTTCGTTGTGCGTGTTTGTTGTTGTGTGTTGCAGTGTCGTCCAGCCAATCAACTCTGAGCTCCCCAGCCCCTTCACCCTCCTTCTCCTCTTCCTCAACTGGCCGCTGCTTCTTCTCTGGCTCATAAATATCACATCGGTCAGCTGGGTTGCAATTACAGCAGCTGCTCACGAATTGAACGAATAAAAACCTCCAGCTGCGATCCGTCTTGCACCAGCCAACATGTCTGTCGAGGTAATAACCCGCTCTTTCTCTAGCTGCATTTAATTTATGTGTCGGGTGCGTTTAGTTGCTATTCTGGCATGTGGCTGCTGCTTATTTCCATTCTGATACCGATAGCTTTATATCGCTAGCTCAGTGTAAGGAAAATAATGTCTGATCTGCTCATGTGCTGGTTCCGAGGTCCTGCAGCTGGTGCTGCAGCTGGGTTTACTGCCCTCAAAACTGCTTGAGCTAAAAGGACACCTTACTACAAACATGCAAGTCCTGTGTTTTTCATGGTTTCAGGAACATGAGTTGGGCTTATATTTCTCCTTCAAAGGGGCACAATAATTATCCACCCTGCCATGTCCCAGATCTTTTGTAAAGCAGATTATTCAAGCAAGCACAAAAGCATCAGAGGCCTGAATAGAAAGCCCTTTGTTTAACTCCTACTTGTGCAACAATCAGTTTCCCTCACTTTGCCTTGTGGCTTGACTACAAATTCATGTTGGCTGTTGCTCATTAGCATGCACATTTCTGCATCCTGTGCTCCTTCTCGGTACACTCAGATTGCTCTGATTTGACTATTAATGAAATATTAGCAGTCTTTTCCTGTTTTTCCCATGCTCTGACTCTCTGTGGATCTGCAGGAAGAGTTCAAGAAAGTGGCCGACCAGGTGAAGAATATGAAAACAAAGCCTACAGATGACGAGATACTGATGCTGTACAGTCTGTACAAACAGGCCACGGTTGGAGACGTTAATATAGGTATGAGGCTTAGTTTATGTGAGCTAACTAAACATTTTCTTCAACGCTTTTCCTTTGTTTGTGCTTTCTTTAGACAAACCAGGTCTAACTGACTTAAAAGGAAAAGCAAAGTGGGAAGCTTGGGAAACCAGGAAAGGTAACATGCATTTGTGTTGGTCTATCCATTAAATCCCATTTAAAAATGCATTGAGTTGTGTAGTTGTAATACAATAAAATGTGAAAAGGTTCAAGAATACTCACGCAAGCATACTCTGATTGCTTAAACGGAAATAAATTGCTGCACGTTTTGTTTTCAGTGTAACTAATTTGTCTCTCCTCTGTTTCAGGAATGTCCAAAGCGGACGCCATGGCTGCCTATATCAAGCACGCTAAGGAACTTTTCAGCAAATATGGGGCGTAAACTTTGCAAGAATCTAATAAAGCTTGACTCAGGCAAAAAAAAAAGACTACTAAATAATTTACTGAGACAAAGATAATGTTTGCCTTCTGTTCTCAGAGGCAATAATTATCCCTTAATTTTTTTTTCTTTCACATTATTTTACTGCAAACTAATACACTCGATGAACTACTAAAGGTCTTCAAAGGTCACATTTTTGCCGATTGTGATGCACTTTGATACACTGCATTGATTTGTAACAAAGCTGTTTAAAACAAAGTAGAAAAAAATGCTATTAAATGCTAACATAAATGGAAATTAAATGCCTCTTTGGTTTTTTTTTCACTACAGTAACTATTTGAGTGTTAATGAAATTGATATTTTTTGCAAGATGAGCACAAGAAGCAGCGAGTCGGCTACACCGTCTGATCTTGTTATAGGTGATGTAGTTAAAGTTTCTCAGGTCTCACTGTTAAATCAGAATACAGAGGAAGTATAGAAAAAAATCTATTGAACAAAAAAACTGTTAAAATGGCAAAATAATTACAAAATTTACATCAGCATCTAATAACTTGGAATATTTTAATGCATATATTTTGAGTATATACAAATATTCCACATACATGAAAGTATAAATTATTTCCCCTTTCGGTGACAGAACATAAAAGCTTCTTGAAATGTACTGCCAAGCCAACAGTTTTTATATTTTCTGCATGAATAAAATCACCTGCAATGATGATTGCAGGTGGTTTGACACAACTTCAGTGGAGAGCCAAACTTTGTCAGTGTGGTTGAAAAAACAAGGTCGCTGACATGAGCAACTGCCTTTATACTATACCAGACCCCTCAATTTGGTCTTGAATTTGTTTATTTGTGTTAAACTAGTACTTATTCTGAGATTTAAGAACAACTGAGCCAAAAGGGACTGTATATGGAAATGCATAATTTTATCATGATCTAATTTTTTTTTTATCCATGTTTTGACTCCAATTTGGCTTTTGTTTTAGACCATTAATTGTAATATATTAGGTTATACTTGCTGCTCATTTCATCAATAAAAAAAGGTCAAACCCAAAGTGTAAAGTCTGTCAACAAGCGCATGCGCACCAGTGATAGCCAGAGCTGTCACTGGTCGTGGGACTTCCGGCTCATTTTTTGGGATTCAATCATTTGGCTCATCTTACCGAGAGTTCTGGGTTTATTCTCGTCCCATGCAGCTCTTAACTCAGTATTACTTCTGGTTTCATAATTACCTCAATTTTTGATCTGACCACTATGATTGTATATTTATATAGAATAATATTATTTGTAAGAATTACATATTTTTAATGTGAACGTTTGGATACAATATTTTTCTAAGTCATACATACTCCTAAGCAATGTGACTAATATGTCGTTTAATTTACAAACAGTATCTTCTTTATTCACTTTGAGTTAATTTCTGTATGGATGCTTTGAAAATGCGGCTGATTGGCCTCAGCAGTTTCGTCACATCGTTCCTTTCAGTGAGCTGGCTTACAGAATCGGCTCAGTTGCGCTCGGCACACCGTCAGTTGGCTCAGAGAGTGAGTGGGGTAAAGGTGAACGCTGTCTGGCGAGCAGCAGCTGCAGACAACAACACAGTGAGCTTCTTTCACTTCAGCCGTCGACAGGAACCAAATGTCGGGTATCGATGCTGTAAAATAAAGTCAACGCATCCCGGAGAAGCTAAGCTAGCAGTAAGTTTCCTGTTCAGACTTTTCGTCGCCAACTGCCCCAGCTGCGAAATGATGCACCATTAGCCTTCACTGCAGGACTGACCTCCTGGTCCTGGCTCCCTGTTAGCTACGTTGCTCCAAAAACAACCAGATAGCAAGTTTTCAGTGGATTTCTTCTGAACATCGAGGCTACATTTTCAACTTATTTGATTAGCTAGTTTGCTTATACCTGCATTTACTGACCAAAGGCAAGTCGATACTTGCAATTTTAAGAAGTGGTGCAGTGGATAAAAGTGCACCGATTAGGCTTTCCAGTATCGTTTTTTGACCTGGCGACACTCACTCCGATCAGAATCATTTGATCCAGGGGTGTCCAGTCCTCGAGGGCCGGTGTTATAGCGAGAAATGCATGCCTGCCGAGAATTGCGTCCCCTGTCGCTCTAAACTCTCGCATATTGATGGGAAAACGGGCTGAAATCCGACCGAAGAGGAAACTTTTAAAGATATTCGTAACATTATCACGTTTATTAATCATGTAAGCACTAAAATTGTGGGTTTTATTTCGCAAATTAATTGAAATAAACACTGATTTTTTTCACGTTTATTGAGCCATATTTGTCGAACGTTCTTCAGTGTCTGATGAACAAGTTCTCCGCAGCTGCTTTGAAAGTCCAAGCTTTTTCTTTTAACACCATAATAGCTTAAAGCTTTACAAAACCGAGGCCCAATTACGTAGAACATTTTATATCACGCTTAGCAGTCTAGTGTATTAATGTAGGGGAGGTGCATTTTAATTTCTGAGCCTGCTAATATTTGCATCCCCTGTCTATTGTCCTGTTCATATGAAACTTATAGTGGTAACTCAGGGAACAAGTGTCATTATGTAGAAAAAATGTAATTTCCAAGTTAGCAGGGGATACAATTTTTGGCAATATGGATTTCTAGCTTGCCAAAAATTGCATCCCCTCTATTTTCATCAAATATTTTTGAAAAGATATTAAACTAATACCAGTAGTTCATAGAACTACTCTGGTCATGTAGAGAAAGTTATTTCACTCTTAACTCTTTATTTCTCCAAGTTAGCAGGGGATGCAACTTTTGGCAATAAGGATTTCTAGCATGCCAAAATTTACACCAGTGGGGAACAAACAAGTTTATCTTTCTTAGAGTGTAATGTTGATTGGTGTTGCAGAGAGAAGAAATGTCCAGTCGATTGGCAGATACTCTGCCTGAGCGGACCTTTCAGTACCAGAACAGTCTGCCTCCCCTCCCTGTACCTCCACTAGAGGGAAGCCTTTCTAAGTACTTGGATGCAGGTAGGATGGCTGTGCTCTCCAGATTACTTTTTACATACCTAACATGTAATCAGGAAAGAGAATAATGAATATACGGTAGTTTTATACGTCTGATAGATTTGACTGAAATGTGTTTACAACTGCAGGCAACATTAGTTGCTTGATTGTGCTGTAAATTTATACTATGTGTCTGGAAGACACACACTTCCCCTTTATGAGTTGTAAAGAAAGAGCAGATCCCTGCTTTATTAAGTGCACTAACGTGAACTAAAGTAAACAAAGTGATTTTATTAGGACTGTAGAAATACACCCAGTAGACACAGCAGGTGAAAGGCATTATATGCAAAGTCATAGTGCACCCAACAAAAACATTATGCAACATGAAAATCCAGTGAGTGACTGATATGCCAGCCAGAGAGGGTGTGTGTGCTAAAATTGAATTAAGTGCATCAAAAATAACTACTGATTTATAGAACAGTATAGTGATATTTAATGGTCTCCTCTACCTCTGTGACAAAGGTGAGAATAGCTTATCAGCAAGTTAATGTGTGGACTTACTGTCCTGCATGTACAGTCTGTTTAAAAAGAGGCAAAGTTATCAGGTCCTTCTTGTTTCCTCCACTGTCCAAATACAAACTCAGATGAACAAATAACCTTGTGTAATTAGTTATTAAACAAATACTAATCCTAAATTCAGATGCTCAGTTAAAAAAGTTTTTTTTTCTTACTGTGTTTTTACAGTTTTTTTTTTTTTTTCATTTCTCTCTCAGTTCATCCGTTTGCATCAGAAGCAGAGTTTAAAGCTACAGTGGAGATTGTGAGGAAATTCAGAGAAGGTGTTGGAAAAGAGCTGCACCAGAAACTGCTGCAGAGAGCCACAGAAAGGAGGAACTGGGTCTGTAGCCTCATAATAGAAGTTCTTTTTTACAAAAAAGCGAGGTAACAATGTGTGTACTCTTCCTCAGTTGGAGGAGTGGTGGTTAGACACAGCCTATCTGGAGGTCCGAATCCCCTCTCAGCTGAATGTAAACTTTGGTGGTCCCGGCCCGTACTTGGAGCATTTCTGGCCTCCTGCTGAAGGAAGTTCTCTTCAGAGGACCAGTATTATAACATGGCACACGCTGCAGTACTGGGATCTGCTCCGCACGTAAGGCATGCTGACACACACACTCGTTTTTTTTTTTGGCTTAGTGTTGAGAACGTTTTCTGCTCAGATATTTGTCTTCACTCCCTTTCCTTCAGGGAGAGACTCGCTCCCCAGAAAGCTGGGAAAACCCTGTTGGACATGGATCAGTTCAGGATGCTCTACTGCACCTGCAAGATTCCTGGAGTGAAGAAGGACACCATTCGTAACTACTTCAAGACAGGTGCCGCTCTGCAACTTTCAGACACACTGGTAACCTTTGAACCTTGGCTTCACCGCTCGTTTTATTATGTTTCTCAGTAAGCGAGGGGCCGTGTCCTTCCCACCTGGTGGTGATGTGCCGCGGTCGGATTTTTACTTTTGATGCACTGTTTGATGGACAGATCCTCAGTCCTCCAGAGCTCCTCAGGTGGGAAGCAAACACAGGCACAGATCCTCCATGAAACCCAACAATATTTACTAACTTCTTCTGTTTTTTGAACCATTTATTTAGTTATTTAATGTCACTACAATTTGAAAATTGTTACCCTGGCACGATTTTCTGCATCTCATTGATTTTAAAATACTTCATTTTTTGAATAATTTCATTGAAGAAAACTGTTTCAGTTTAGGATAGAAAAAAAATCAACCTTTTTCTAAACTTATTCCCTTGTTTTAACCTCGGATTATTCTTTATTCTGCACTTTTCAGCAATGCAAAATGCAAAGCCCCAATGTGAAATGGACAGATTGAAAATGGGCGAATCTAAGTTGATTGTGAATATGTTCCTGGTTATGTGTAGGCAGCTGATCTTTGTGAAGGAGCGCTGCGAAGGAGAGCCAGAGGGAGACGGAGTGGCCGCTCTCACATCCGATGAGCGAACTCGCTGGGCAAAGGTTCGCCTCCTGGTTGTTGAAGAGACAATCACATAAACAATATTATGGGCCATCACTCTAAAATCTCATATTACCAAAGTATCACTGAGGATCAGTACTTCCTGTGTTTATTTTCAGGCAAGAGAGCATCTAATCAGCATCGATCCGCACAATAAGACGATTCTGGAGACCATTCAGAGCAGCCTGTTTGTCATCTCTCTGGACGAATCCAAACCCTACTCCACTCCAGAAAACTACACAAATGTCTGAGCTGCTCAAATCTCAGTTATTTCCCAACAGAGAAAGAGATCTGACTTTTCTGTCTTCTGTGCAGCTGACGGCTGCGGCCCTTACAGGCAACCCGACCATCCGGTGGGGGGATAAATCCTACAACTCAATCGCTTTTGCAGACGGCAGTTTTGGATCCACCTGTGATGTAGGTTTTCACATTTGATTCTTTTTTTTTACAAGTTTAAATGCTGCAATTTAGTTTCTGTCTAATCTGGGCCTGGCTAAGAATGGAAAATAAGAGTATGAAAAAATTTGTTTCTAGACTTTTGCTGCCTGTACCTTTCTCTAAACGTTTTATCCTCTGAAAGCAGAACAGATAAATGGATGGATGATGGGACAGAGGGGTTGATGGATGAATAAATGCATGCATGGTGAAAGAATGGCTGAACAAACAGTTGAATGGATTTTATCTGATTTCTGATCTCTATAACATGACGGTGAACTGTTGTACGTTTTAAAGATATCTGGAACGGCTTTAAAGGGGCAGCATTCTGTGTTTTCCAGGTGTGACTTGTAGATTTATGTCAAATCTTTCCTGTGAACTTGTCTCGCAGCACGCACCTTATGACGCGATGGTTCTGGTGTCAATGTGTTGGTATCTTGACCAGCAAGTCAGAGCTGCAGAGGGACAGTGGAAGGTAAACACTAAAGCTTTGCCTGTCCTGGACATATGAACTCGTTCTCTAACTTCTGCTGGTTTGTTTGCTGGTTAGGGCTCAGACACGGTCAGGCAGATGCCCCTCCCTGAGGAGCTGCTGTTTACGCTGGATGAAAAAGCCTACAGTGACGTTCATCATGCCAAACAGCAGTATCTGGAGTCTGTGAGCCTTTGGAAAACCTGATGGGGGGAGGGGAAGCACTTATTTTATTAAAGAGGAGGCTCATTATTAACTCTGTGTTGTTTCAGACCCACGACCTTCAGATCGTGTGCTACGCCTTCACAGCTTTTGGAAAATCAGCCATCAGACAGAAGAAGCTGCATCCAGACACTTTTATCCAGATGGCAATGCAGCTAGCTTACCAAAGATTACACAAGAAGTACGCAAGCGACACTTTGACGATGATTCATCGTATTTCAAACTAAAACCTACTGGACTCTGAATGTGTGCTTGGGTTTTCACCAGACCAGGAAGCTGCTATGAGACGGCAACGACGCGCAAGTTTTACCACGGCAGGACGGAGACCATGCGGCCCTGCACACGGGAGGCTGTGACCTGGTGCAAGGCCATGATGGACCCTGCATGTGATGTAATTCGACATTTTGCTTTTGTAAAACCAGTGTTTGAATGATTTAACTCTGGGAGGCTCAAACATTTCTGGGCTCAAATCATTTTCAGTCCAAAGAAAAATAAAACTCTTAACTGTATTAAAGAACTGACTACATATTTATATTTTATATTTATAAAAATAATCCTGGAAAAAAATAATCGGTCTTAAAAGATGACAAATGATTGGCGTCAGTCTTGATCGCTGCATCTCCAGTTATGATTTTTTCTTCTCTTGGTTTTTATTGTATGCTTTGATGCATTTTTATTTATTCATAAATAAAACTGACCTGTATTCTCCCAGGTGAACGGTCAGAGGACCGCCATGCTCTCAGCTTTTAATAAACACAACAAACTGATGTCTGAGGCTCAAGATGGAAATGGTGAGTTTAGGAACTATTCTTTTTTACATTGCCTGATATTTCTAAATAAATGTAACACTGCTTTTGGCACTGTGGCGCTCAAAAGTCTTAGTCTCAAAATATCTTAGATTTTAAATATTTTAATGATAAATATTGTACATTAGCTTGAATCTGTCAATATGATCGCAGAGCCTCTATCATTATTCCTCCATTGTGATAAAAGATGAATCCAAGGAAAATACAATTACCTATGGAGTTCCTCAAGGGTCCATCCTGGGGCCACTTCTTTTTAATATTTACACGCTCCCATGAATTCAGATTATAAGAAATAATAATATAGAATACCACAACTACGCCGACGATACACAACTGTACATTAGTCTTTCACCAGGAGATTACAATCAGGTTCAAGTACTCACTAAATGTATTGAGCAGATTAATGTCTGGATGAGCCATAACTTTCTCCAACTAAATCAAGACAAACCTGAAATATTAGTATTAGGACCAAAAGAGCACAGATTGAAAACTATCACCTACCTTCACTCAATTGGTTTAAAATGCTCTGATAAAGCCAAAAATTTAGGGGTGATTATGGATCCTGATCTGAATTTCAACTACCACATCAAATCTATTATAAAAACATCATAGTATCACCTCAAAAATATTGCTAAAATCAGACGACTCATGTCCGTACAGGATTCTGAGAGACTAGTTCATGCCTTTGTTTTTAGCAGACTTGATTATTGCAATGCCATTTTAACTGGATTACCTAAAAAAACATTAAGACAGCTCCAGCTCCTCCAGAATGCTGCCGCAAGCAGCATTCTTACAAACACAAAAAGAGATCAGCACATCAGTCCAGTTCTCAGATCTCTGCACTGGCTGCCTGTTGCTCAAAGACTTGACTTTAAAATTTCCTTAATAGTTTATAAAGCACTTCATAATAGAAATCCAAACTACATTTCCGCTCTTCTGCAACCCTACGTACCACTCAGAACATTAAGATCATCAGACTCAAACCTATTGACTATTCCGAGAGACAGAAGTAAACACGGAGAAGCAGCCTTTAGTTTTTATGCTCCAACACTATGGAATAAACTTCCTGCTCATTGTAAGTCTGCGCCTACCATGAGTTTATTTAAAACAAGCTTAAAAACCTTCTTATTTGAAGTTGTCTATTCTTAAATTTTTAAACCCACTCACTTACTATAATTACAATTTTAATGCTTACTTTATCTATATTTTCTTTATTTTATTTTATTTATTTTTTCTTCTAACAGTATGTATTCCTTATTTTTCTTGTACAAGCACTTTGAGTTGTCTTTGGCTGAAAGGTGCTATATAAATAAAGTTGCCTGCCTTGCCTTGCCTATTATAATTTATCAGAGTTAGTCTTGGAAGATTTTGTGATTTCATTTCAGTCCTGGTGCTTCCTGCAATACTTTAATTTGTCCCCTGTGGTTCCACACTCTCTGAAACGTCTGTGAGACCTGTTGATGTGTGTTTGTGTCAATATTTCTCACTGTTTGTGTTACTGCCTGCAGGGTTTGACAGACATCTCCTTGGGCTTTATCTCATTGCTAAAGAAGAAGGACGTCCGACCCCGGAGCTGTTCTCTGACCCGCTTTACTCCAGGAGGTACTGCCAATCACTCTTACACATCTTCCTCTCGTTTATAATCAAGAAATGTGTCCAAAAATCAAGCTTTGCTACCTAATAAATAGGTAAAATTTAATTTTAGGGTTTTAGGATGCATTAAAATTGTCCATATCACGGTGCTGTGATGGTGCAGGGGTTGAACACAACCCACATAAGGAGGCCTTAGTCGTTGATGTGGTGGTTGCAGGTTCAATTCCTGGCCTGGTGACCTCTGTCACATGTCTTCCTCCTCTCTCTTAACTATTTTCCTGTCTTAGCACTTTAAAAAAACGACCATTAGAGCCAAAAAAGAAGTAAAAATTTTTACATATCTAATTTAGTAAGGATAAGAAGAATATTGATCATGGGTATATGCTAAATATTTCTGTTTTTTGCTTGCTGCATCACATAAGACACAATATCTTTTTTTCATGCATTAAATGCTGGCCTTTTGTCTGTTTTGTAATTTTACGCTCAACTTTATTTTTTTTCTGACTCTTGTTCTGTGAGAATTCACACATAAAAATTATATTGAAATCAAAATCAGGTTTGCCCTTGACTCTCAACACTCCATGTAGAGAATATCTTTCATCATCACTTATTCAATTCAGTCCAAGTTGTCAAAATGAGTTTCATTTGTTTGACCTGGTTCTAACCTGAATCATGTCAGCGGCTCGCCGCAGGGTTAAAACTGGCATTTCATCGAAGGATCCATTTCAAACTGGGTTCTCGGTTGTTGCGTTTGTGTCTGCAGTGGCGGCGGCGGAAACTTTGTGCTGTCGTCCAGTCTGGTGGGCTACACAACAATAATGGGGGCGGTGGCTCCGATGGTTCACCATGGTTACGGGTTCTTTTACCGCATCAGAGACGACAGGTGAAGATGAAGACGTTTGTTAATTAATTGTCCAAAAGTATTGTAGTGTGCTGTTGAAGTTCAACACTTTGTAAAACTGCCTCTTCTGTTGTAGCAGCTTCTAATAAAAAAAAACAAACAACTTTCCCATCGTTTAGGATTGTGATCTCCATCACAGCTTGGAAGTCCTGCCATGAGACGGATGCAGCCTCACTCTTTAACGCCTTCTCCAGCTCCATGCATGAGATGCTCCACTTGGCCACCACCTCTCAGCTTTAAGTACTTCTCCAAAAGCAGGAGGATTTAATCATTTCTTTTTGTTATTCTTCTGTGCACATGCAGTTCAGACTGAGTTTCAACCGACAGCTAGATCAGCGCAAATCAATGCAAAGGAGCAGTCTGCTCCTCTAATTGTAGTATTTGAAAATTTCTTGTAGATATTGATTTATGTTATAATTTCATATTGTGTGTACATATATCTCTTTAAATTTTCTAGATTTGATGTAAAATTTGTTGATTTGTATTTAATTGTTGCAACAAAAAACATTTTTAGCCTTAAAAAGCTGCTTAAATGCGGCTTCTTCCGACGGACCCCGAATCAGCCTCCATGTTGAAATCGAATTTTCTGAAATACGAAACAAAGAGTTCTGAATGTGAAGGGAATAGTCTTAACAGAACAGATTTATTTTGTCTAAATATCCCCTTTAATGAAGCCCAGCAGCTCATTAAACGAACAATCAGTACTGATACTCATATAAAAAAATCTAATGGTTTGAGGCTGAGGGCAGCTAATGCATTCTGGCATTAATGTAAAATGTTTCTCTACTTATTTGTAGTGATCACTGTACACTGAAATATTTTTAAAAATATTCATGCCTTAAATTGGATTGATTGTTCCACACCTTTGCCTTCTTTTAATATTCTCAGATCTGTGATTATGCAAGCTGACTCTACCTCTTCATGATGCTCAAATGGGTTCCTCACCTTTGATCTGTCATGGATTCATTAAATTAATTTTAATTGTGCACTTTTAGAACTGTGGCTATTGTAAGGCTCCACAAAAGCTGTGGCTTCCAGTGTTTGTGTGTTGCTTCATTTAAGGAAATACATAACAAATGTGGTTTTACAACCTTTGAACTTTCCCTCATTTTTATCATGTTAAAACCACAAACTTTTATGTATTTTAGTGGGATTCCCTGTGACAAAGTTATGCATAAATGCAAAGTTAATAATGATATTCCGTTCCCACGTTTGTGTTTTTGTCAGTAGTTTGTAGGACCACACTTAAGAAGTGAAATTTGGATGAAGAGCGTCTGTGATCGTTCATAAAATTTTGTATTTAAATCATAAAGAAAAACAAATAAATTATGAAAAATGTAGCCCTGTTTGATACAAGATACGTCTCAGTTTAAGAAATTGGCTGCTTATCAATTAATCGTCAGTTGATCGATAAAATGTCAACTTCAGATTAACTCTTTAATTATTTTCCCTGGTTCTGTTATTTTTAGCCCAAATCCTTATGAGCCTTTGTAGGCTGCAAATCCCTGGTCTAGTCCATCACATCCCAGTGAAACACGTTTTAATTGGTGATTGTAATGTGTCAAAATGTGGAAAAATCTAAGCATAAGGCACTGTGAAGCTATGTTAAGATGTTTGCTGCCTTGTTTATTGATCTAAAATCTCACCAACTGCTTTGAACTCCAAACAAAAGGCTGAATGTTTCTAATTGCTGCTGATTAATGTCCCAGACAGACTTGATTTTAACAGCATTCTTTACGCTTTTGTAAATTTCACAGCTAATGTTTCGATTCTGAACACATTTATTGGAGGAGGGAAAGCTAATTATGTATGCAAACATTGTAATTTGTTGTGAAAAGTCTTTTGAGAAATAAAGAAGAGAATGATTCAATTTTTTTGTCCCCAAGGTAAACACACACAATGCTTGTATGCATAATTTTATTATCACTCATTTTTGGCTCATTTTACCAAATTATTGAAATATTAATAACCCAGATACATTTACTTCAGAATATCGACTCTGCATCAGTGGTCCCGGCATGTCTGATGCATTTAAATTACACTTCATTATGCATAAACGTTTCTACATTGCATCAAGGCAGTCCACCTGAAAATGAACAAGCACATTTAGGCCTTACATAAAAATATAAATCCAGTGCAATGTTTATTTTTATTGGCCATTACTCCCATCAACCCATTCATAAATTTTTTTGTTCCTTGAACAATTTTTATTTATACATTTAAAACACCCAATCTGTAATCCACTAAAATAACAGCAACTTAAGTGTACAAACATTGTCAATATGGTAGCAAGAGCTAGAGAAAACAATGTAAACCACTTTCTCCACAATTACTCAATTTTCATCGCTTTATTACAACTATTTTCATCTTTTGTAACAAATATTTATTAACGAGCATTTTTAAAAATCATTTATGTCCGGAGGTCATCTTAAGCCACAGAGAAATCCCAACTTTGGAACCAAAACTCAACAGAGTGCATCAAACGTGACGGTAAAGAGGAGTGTGAGGCGATGGCTACTGCTAACACATGTGCCATTAAGTGCTATGTAATGTGCAGACAAGGATCCAAACAGGAAAACATGGAGGCATGAAGCTTTAAAGCTAGAATAGATACTTGAAACAATAAAAACATAGCTGGTGATAAAAAAATAAAAAAAAAGAACAGGGCATCAGTGATGAAGTCCAATAAAGAGCTGGTTTAAATCTGAATACATTTAAAGGAGAAAATATACATTGTACTTCAAGCAATGAGACATGAAGTTTAATGAAGCAGTTCAGTTAATGAATATTTCTATAAACATTTAAGTCAATCAGGAACATAAGCGGATGTTTAAAAGCAGAAGAAATGTCACAATTGAACATTTTCCAGTTTTTGTAAAAAAAAAAAAGCACAAATGCAATCCAGGTTTTTCCTACATTCACAAAGCAATATATCTTTTTCTATTTGTGTGAAAAACACCCATAAAGTGTCAACGGCATATCAACAGCAGCAAAACTACCAACAGTGCACTCACAAGGCGCAGCCAGATCTTTCAGTCGCCGTCGCTCCGCAGAGGTCGCTCTGTGTAGATCAGTGTAAGTGCATCAATGTGAAGGCACAACGTGCTTCCTCCAGCCTTAAAGATGTCAAAGCTGCCAGCGTCCTCTCACTCGGTCCCGTGGCCCAGCTGTGTGGTGACCAACATGTGGTAGACTCCCTTCTTTGCCAGAAGCTGCTGATGCGTCCCCTGTTCCACCACCACACCTCCCTGGAAGACGGCGATGCGGTCGGCGTTCCGGATCGTGGAGAGACGGTGCGCCACGATGATGCATGTTCTGCCTTTGCTGGCCTGGTCCAGGGCGTCTTGCACCACCTGCAGAGAAATGAAGGTACATCTGGCTCAGTGTTTTCAAGTTTTGGTGCGTTTCAGCAGCAAGGCGATTCTTGTGCTTTACATGAAGAAAATCCAAACAAAATAACAATGAAAGAAAATGAATAAAATATTAAAGTTTATAAATTTCTGTCATTGACCCAGAGCTCTGTCGCTGTTTTTCTTCCTAATAGAAAGTACACCTGTGACTTTTTCTGTTTTTGAATCATCATTCTGATGAAAAACAACAATCCATCATTACAGACAAGTTCCTCCTTTTTAATCACAGAAGTTGGTTTTGATAAATGGCCGGCCGTTGCAGAAAAGTGGTTCCCTCTTTGCTGGTAGATCTGACAGCAGGCCACACAGCAGATCTCGATGTTCAATTCAGATTTTCTGCTAAAATTCAATTGTTTTTGCATGGTCGTACGGACTACCAATCAAATGCATTCTGACATCACAGCAGCAAGCGTCTTTGGATCAGTTTATAAATTGAGGCACAATCAAATACGTGTCCGATTTCAGAGTTTTTGGGGGGTGAGACGATTAGGATTGAACCATATAGACTGCCATGGGTCGCATGGCAGAAAAAAATAGATTTTGGCCACAGTCAGCTGCTGCATGAACAGTGAACAGTGCCTCAGTGATGAGTAATTCCTGTTCGCTGTGCTTGCTAAGGAGGGGAGATTTCTGCAAAGTCAACAACTCGGAGCAATCCATTGGATCTGACAATATTATATAATAGAACAATTTTTTTTATTCAAGAAATAGATTTTGATGCAGCATTTTCCTATGAACCTTGAACTGATCAAGAGTCCACTCCCACTGTACTACTGCACATGTCGGAACAATGAAAATGAAGGTTAGTCTTATCTTAATATTAAGAAAAAGCAGTTTTTTTCCCTAAAACCTGTGATATTTACTATATTTATTTGCAGTTCCTGCACTACTTCATTGCTCCTAAGCACAGCAGGGATCAATAACTTGTGTATCATTAAGAACACACTTTAATATTGTTATATGAGAAATGTGTCCCTTTGAGAGCCAAGAAAAAAAAAATAGCACTTTTCTAGCTAAACACTTTCTTGCATCTTCACCATCCTTTCCAAGTGATCGATTCTGTTTGCCGAGCTGCTTGAAGATCATTTAGTAACCTGATATGATGGAACAGAAAAGACAAACCTTCTCGCTCTCTGTGTCCAAAGCAGAGGTGGCCTCGTCGAGGAGCAGCACTTTCGGGTTGCGGAGGATGGCCCTGGCGATGGCCACTCGCTGCTTCTGACCGCCGGACAGCTGAGTCCCCTTGTCACCCGCCTGAGTGTCGTACTTCTGCTCAAGCAGACAGAAACAGAGTGAGCGGTACATCAAGGCGGTAATGCAGACAGATTCGTGGAAGCAGCTTCCTGTAATTCAGGCTCATGTTCCCAGGAAATTTATGTTGTGGGTGTGAAAGGAAGTTTTCCTTCCTGGAGCGTATTTTGTCCCAATTATAGAAAAACAGCTTAGACTCAGCTTAAAGCTGAGGGAATAAAAACTTGACAAAAGGCATCATCTGGTGCTGACAGTTCTCCTAAACTGCAAATTACTCATTATTTTGCAGTAAATTATGATTTTGCAGTACCAAAACATAATCAGTGAGTGTGACCTCTGTAAACTGTATAGTCTTTAAAAGTTTGAGTGATCGTCAGTATAAGTCAAGAAGGGTTTTTATTTATTTCTTAAATCAAAGACAGGTTTTCAAATTAAGTTTCAGATTTGATCATCGAAGGCCAGAAATTGGATAATAATGAACACGTATTTCCAAACCTGAGAAAATATGATCAAAACCACGTATTCATATAATAAATCAGAACTTTAAAACCTCCTATATCATGACAGAGATTTTATCTGATGGACCCGAGACCTTTCAACCTCATAAAGATACATTCTTGATAAAAACCGCTGAAAATGATATCAGATTTTTGTTGCAGCTTCAGAACTTTTCCTTAATAAAAGTCCTTTAGAAAAAAACTACCTGTCTATTGTTTCAGGTTACATCATACTCTGTTTAGATAAACTTTCCCCCAGACCGCTTCAATTGTTTCTTCCTTATCTGAAGCTGTAATTCTGTTTCACAATCATCACGGTTCATATCTCTGCCTGCTGGTCATATATTAATATACAGTCGATAACTTAGAATGTGTGTTCAGACGAAACTTGTTTGTCAAATTAAAAAGGCATCTTTAGAAAGCAACAGCCGTTAAGAAACATTTACCTGAGGCAGTTCATCTATGAAGTTGTGAATGTTGGCGGCTTTGGCAGCCGCCTCTATCTCCTCCATGGTCACTTTGCGGGTGTTGTCTCCGTAGGCGATGTTTTCCGCCAGCGTGCAGTCGAACAGCACCGGCTCCTGGGACACGATGCCGATCTGAGACCTGAGCCAGCGGATGTTCAGCTGTTTGACATCGATGCTGTCCATCACCTGGAGAGCCAAGCAAAAAAAATGAAGACACTATAATGTTGAATGAAGTCGAATAAACGTTGAAAATACCCATGAGTGTCAGCTTCAGAAGACAGTTCTTCTATTTGGTGAAATCTGATCTTTTCAGCTTTCATTTATTATCTATTAAATTGATAGATGTGGTTAAATTGTATGTTATTAATGGTTATCTTCACTTTTCTAGACGATGAGGTTACTTATGAGTCATTTAAAATCTGTCAAGCTTTCAATTGTTAGATATTTTTTAATATTATCATTTTGTTGTTACTTTAGTTTATATTCAGTCTAAAGTATTATTGTGATTTAGTATAAACTGACCTGGAGGTTACGATTGTCTTCATGCAAGATAGTAAAACTTTATGGTTCTCAGACCTTCTTCTCTGGTGTTTATCTACCCGGTCTTAGGTGACAGTTTGACCCAGAGCTAAACTGGGCTCAGATTGTAAATTAGATATCACACCTGGAACTGAGTTGTTGGTCTGTTTGTGTTAAATGTTTTACGACCTCTGTTGTTTGATGCTTTGACAATAAAGAGGGAGCTCACGTGAAGGCAGATCAGAATTCTCTATTGAGCAGCTCGGAGGAGCTGTTGATCGGGATTTCTCCTTCTGCAGAAGCCTGACCATATTTAATTCATATACGTTGTCTGTGGTTATTTTATTGTAGGTTCGAGGAAAATACCTAACACAATGTTTACAGAAAATATTTTCTCTCTTGCCTATAGAAAATGGTAATTACAATTCCTAATAATTTACTATAAAAGGGTAAGGTTATAACATTTAAAAATGTTTTCATACCATTATATAATTTTTTTTTTTTTGGCTATGAATAATAGTAAAAAAAAAAAAAAAAGCAATTGGTGTTACCAGCAGCAGATAATAGTAAATGCTCCCCGTCTGAACTCCATAAATTGCTTTCTGTTGTTTTATAGATTAAAGTTCACCTGCTAAATTTACCCTGTAGTCTCTCAATGCGCCATAAACACAGAGTGCAGCTAAACATTAACCATCAACAGGAGGAGCTGGCTGCCGGCAGAGCGGA